CTAAAGCCCTGGAGCCCTAAAGCCCTAAAGCCCTAAAGCCCTAAAGCCCTAAACCCCAAACTCCCAAACGGACCAGCACCGAAGCCTAGGATCGCATCCCGAATGGCTTGGATGCTGTAGGCTGGGCTGCACAGGCCGCCGCAGGCGCGACCTCTGGACGAAGTGTTTTGAAGCTCTGAGGATTAAGGACTAATATAGGTGCCTCAAGAATTACCTATACTATTTTGGGAGCTCCTTATTAAAAAAAATTTAGTCTAAGATACCCCATAACCCTATTCTAGTTATTAAGGCCCCTACACTAGGGTTTAGGGCTTAGTGTTAAGGGTTCAAACACAGAGCATCCCAGAGCCCTGAACGCTTTACCAGGTAGGTCACTGAGACATAATCACCAACAGTATTCCCTACCGGATTCAGGGAAAAAAGTATAGTACGTATATATATATATATATATACACATGTATATATATATATATATAGATATAGATATATGTAATATATATATATATATACATATATATATGTATAACATACCACAAAACCCTAGTTGTTAAGGCCCCCTAGACGAGTATCCGGATCCTATTTACGAAACATTCTCGGCAGCTCTCGGGGGCCAGCCTCTGACGCTGCCGCAATCTTGCGACATTTGGGAGGGTTTAGGGTTCACCCACGGGCCCCATAGTAGGTCCTTTTTGGGATTACCGAATAGGGTCCTAAATATAAGCCACAAAAAGGAACTACTATGGGGCCTATGAGTAGGGTTTAGGGTTTAGTAAGTCGGAACATTATAATACCCATGCGCTGCAGGTAAAGTATAAGGGATCCCAGCACCAATCATTCTTAACCGATGTTTCAACTTCCTGGGGTTCGCTGTAGGGTCCAGAAAACATGGAGTGCAAGGGAGTATCTCGAGCAGCAATGAATAGAAAGCCAAAGCCGCATTCTAGGTGCTTTTGCGATAAGGTGTCAATACGTCTACAACATCCCTGTAATGCGACAGATAGAAGGCGGCTCTCGAAGTTTATGGCCCGCGACCCTAGCGGACGACCCAATCTTCAAACCGCCTTAGCTCTGAAATCCACATCGTAGACGGTGCAGATCGACATCAAGATGAGGGCACAGACGTGCCTGTTTCGTTGCGCGTAGGATACACGGCCGATGGCGATGGATGGAAGAAATCAAAGTGATGGTCTAAACCTTCTCTGAAGCCTATACCCTAAAACCCGAAAGCCATTAAAGCCCTATCTTAACACACTAAACCCCTGAACGAGAGCCTTGGGAGGTGCTTTGCAGGACATGGTGGCCCCCGGAGAGTCGACCTCACAGCCACAAAAGAAAGGCTCAGTCATACGATGGGACCACTACCCATGGGCCCCATAGTAGTTCCTTTTTGGGATTACATAATAGGATCCTTAATATAAGCCACAAAAAGGAACTACTATGGGGCCTATGGGTAAGGATTAGAAAGGGCTTCAGGGTTTATGGCTTCAAGGGCCTACAGGGTTCAGGCCTTATAGGGATCAGGGTGCATCGTTTCTGGGATGAATTGGCTTGTAGGTTTTTGGGAGTAGGGCTTTGGTGCTTATAGTCTTCAGGGTGTATATAGGCCTTGTGGTTTGGGGTTTATTTAGGGAACCATGTCAGTGAAGTTTTGGGCTTCATGCATAGGATTGCCTCCTCCAGGGTTTTGAAGGCTTCTCGGCGCAATGATAATTTAGGGCTTTGGGTTTTGTGTTCAGCTCCCCGGGAGATTTTTTGCGCAGGCTGTTGTCAGAAATGAACCAGCTCTCGTAGAGATTGGGTGCGTGGGCTTTGTTTGTTCAAGTTTTGGCAGCTCTTGCGCACTTCTGGAGAGTACATGTGCGCTTTCTTCACCCTGACATGGGGTTTGGGGTTCAAGAGTTTTGGGTGCAGGAGACGATGAATTAGTAATTGGTATAGTAATGTCATGCTTGTAATGTACTCCCAAGCCCTTGTCTGTTTGTTTTGTCTCCTACGCTCCTATGCCAGGATCTAAGCCCTGAAAGGTGAGATCATAAACACAGTTTGTTATCGCCAGCAGGGTCGCCCTGAAGGTGGCGTAGGTTCCTTTCCTAAGGGCCATAGCTCACACGGAACCTCGGTCCGAAAATGACGTCTAGAGCCACATACCCCGAACCTTTCAGACAGAAAGCTGAGCCTTTACGAAACATCACCTCCCTAATTCAACCCTAAACCCTAAACCCTAAACCCCTAAACCCTAAACCCTAAACCCTAAACCCCTAAACCCTATAGATCCCTTAAAGTCAGTCTTAGCCAGGGCCAGCACCAACGCCGGATGCTATGGCTGGAGAATTCCTTGAGCAGCTGCGCCCACACCTGAGCTCTTCTGCCAAGGGTTTAGGGTTTAGGGTTTAGGGTTTAGGGTTTAGGGTTTAGGGTTTAGGGTTTAGGGTTTAGGGTTTAGGGTTTAGGGGGGGGGGCGGTGTTTTGCTGCGTTCTTCTTGAGGGTTCGCAGGTTTTGGGGGTGCTTAAGTGCTCGGAGGAGTTTTGTTTCGTTGTTTTGGGTGTGTGGCTCGTAGTTGAGGCCCGAAACGGATCTTTTCAACTAACCGCTAAGCCCAAACCCGAAACGGAGACGTGAAAAGTTCAGTGCGCTTCTGCCTTTTGCTACGGGATCGCTTGTGTGCATTGGTGATCGAGGGAGGGACGTTGGGAATTCCAGTCCCACGGTTCGGGCAGCCCCTCAAACCGAGGGAAAGCCAAAACAGAGTTTATCCCAATCCCTAAACCCTGAACCTGAAACCCTCAACCCTAAACCTTAAACTCCAAACCCTAAACCACCCTAAACCTTTAACCCTCAACCCTAAACTAAACTCCCAGCATCTTGCCCAGGCGAGCGGGCGGCAGTGAGGACGCTGAAGGCACAGCGCATTGGCAGTTCCGGCAGTCGGGTTTAGGGTTTTGGGTTCCGCGAGCTTCTCTAAACGCCAATACCGTAAGATAGAGGCCTGAATAATTAGAATAGGGTTTTGGGGTATATTATACTTAGTGATAGCAAGGAAGCCCCCCAAAACCCTATTCTAATTATTAAGGCCCCTACATTAATTACTCTCCCAAAAAGTACCTGGCCCAGAAGGTCCAAATACCCAAGCAGTAGGGAAGTTTTGATGCATGAGTGCTGTCCCCTGCTGCGGTTTGTGCTTCTTTTGGGTGGGGCCTGCTCCAGTTCCAATGATGAGTCTCCTTGATCTAGGGACCCCCTAAAGAGCTCATGCAGCACTTATCTAACAAGCCCCTTCGCAACCGCTACGTGAGTGAATGTCCCCAAACCCCCGAAGCAACAGCTGCATTGGCCACACAGTGCGGTGACATTTAATTTTGAAGTCTGACTATGTAACCCAAAAGCCCCAAACGCTTACGACTTCAGTTGTTCAGGAGTTTGACTTAGACAGGCCCTGGCCAACCTCCTGGGCAGTGAGGACGACGGACGCAGCGCAGGTGCATCACTGGAAGCAGCCGTGATTAAAGGCTGCTAAATTGGGATTATACAGGCTTTTGAATTTCTGATCGCAATACAGAGAGACTTTTTGTTTCCTATGCTGGGGATCGGGTTCAGGTCGTCGGATATGAAACTTTTCTTTTGAGGTGACCATGTACGGTGCTACGGTGCCTGGGACGTTGAACAGATAGAGGAGACTTGGAATAAGGATCCTCATCTTGACTTAGTACTTATTCCAGAAACCCGCAAGTACAGAATAGAGCCGTATGTTCCTGAGTGATGGGGATTTATAGGCCATCGTACTAGACAGGGTGGTTGGGGTCTAGGTAGTCTCATTGTTCCAGAAAACTTCGCTGCGTTGTCATTCTAAGTCCGCTAACCGCCCAGTACCTCTGCACGCACGGTCACAGGCTTACTCCAACCCTCCAGGTACCTACTATAGAGGGTACTCGAGCCCTTAGGGCCGTATATAGCAGGTACCTGGAGGGTTAGGGTTAGTTTTTCGGATGTTAGGCATTTGACGGCTTAGGATCGAGTACTTTTGCGCCGTATTGGTTTGCACAGGAAACTCAGCATTGAAGTGAAGTTTAGAGTAGTAGAGCTTCTTGTTTACAGGTCAAAGTTTAGGCTCCCTAAGGAAGCGGACAATTGTGGAAGCCAGTGTCGATCCACTAAGCCCAAAATTTATTTAGGTTTATTGGGTCTGTGCAATAGTAGGTTAGTAGGATGCCCGATAGTTGTAGGGTCCTTAATAAGGTATCTGTACACGGTATCTTGTGAGCATGCTTGGGTACCTGTCGCTCCTCCAAAATGTCTAGGACATGAACTTCCTTCAAAGCTGCAGGGTCCCTTGCCCACGTCTGCGGGCGGGCCTAGGGATTCGTGTAGGGGCCTAAATAGTTACCAATATTATGTTGGGGGTTCCTTAATTATTAGAATTATAGTATAATGGGCCCCGAAACCCTATTCTAATTATTAAGGCCTCTATATTAACCCCACTTCTTCGATGCCAAAGTTTTCCGATGCCAAAAGACCAGACCCTGCGCACGCACTCCTCGATGTCGCCGAAAAAATCACTTTAACCCTCGAACCTGGCATGTAGGAGGTTGCAAGCCTCTCAAGACTCGGCAGTACAGGGTATCAATCAAGGCCAACAAAACTGAAGGGGCCCTTCGAAAAAACAATCTCGAGTAATCATTTCGACAGCCCTGGCAGGTGGCGGTCCTCAGCGGGGACGGGGCGTCACTCGATGAAGGTGCCTTCTGAAGTTAAAGTAGCTGAGGCGCGAAGCAAAAGCCAAAGAGATGAAACATAAGTACCGACCGATTACAAATCCCTTAACAGAAGGAGAGGGAGCAGCTACAGTTGTTTGACTTGCCCTACACACTGCCCTACACCTTAGCAACCGTAAGCTTGGGTGTAGGGGACACTAGATCTGGGGCACCGTGTTTCCAAGCCACGCCTGATGAACTACGTGAGATCTTGGGGCTTGCCTCCAAAGTCTTGGGGGCCGAGTTCTTTT